TACATAATTGTAGGTAAGAATTTATGTTGTTTTGTGATCTAGTAAATTATTAAATTTTCTTTATACTCACTAACTAAATAATACGAATGAAATGAAAAATACGTAATTGTAAATAAGTATTTATGTTCTTGTTTTGTGTTCTTTTTTTTTTTTGAGTAAATTATTAAACGTTCTTTACACTCACAGACTAAATAATGCGAATGAAAAGGGCGTAATTATAAGTAAATATTTATGTTTTGTTTGTGATCTTATTTTTATTGAGTGAGATTATTAAATGAAATAGATTAAATGAAATAATGTTCAAAGTAAAAGAGACAAGCCACCGAAAAATAAACATTTTCAAGGTGCATTTTTAGGGTTAGGGTTTTAGAGGAACCTTAATTTCATTTTAATCTGATTTCTTTGTAATCCGCGACATTAAATGTTCTTTATACTCACAGACTAAATAATAAGAATGAAATGAAAACTATGTAATTAAAAGTATTTATATTCTTGTTTTGTGAACTTGTTTTTATTGGGTAAAAATTTTTAAATGTCCTTTATACTTACGGGCTAAATCACACAAACAATAAATATTTTTTGAAATTAAATTACTGATATGTATACTAATAAATGTTTTTATACTTACTCTCTGATAATTAAAGCTGTATGAGAGATCTCATTTTTTAAATAAGAAATTATAAAATATTATAATAAAAAATTAACTTACTTATCAATCCATTCACGAAATTTATAATAATCCTCTTTTACACCAATTCCAAATATGTAACAAACGGCGGTTTTCCAAATTCCCATAGAATTACCTGCCTCAGCAGACTTCAGATAATATGTAAAAGCTTTATGATTATCTATTTCAACTCCAATACCTAGACAATAACAATAACCAACTTGATACATTCCATTAGAATTATTCATATCTGCAGATTTTTGATAATAAATGAATGCCTTGTTTGCATTTTTTTCAACTCCAATTCCATATTCGTAACAATATCCAAGCCAATATATTTCGTCTGGACCGTTCATATCTACTAATTTTTGATAATCAATAAAATTCCGTTGATTAAAATCATTGGTTATTTGTGTAATTTCTTCCGATGATCTTGTGTCTTGTGATAATCGTCCTCCTGTCAAATCTTCTGACATTTTTTTAACTAGAAAAAATTTAAATACAGTATGTTCGTTGCGTTAAAAAGGAACCGCTTACTACTCTTCTAAGCTTTTTTTGTACTCGCAATTGTTACATACTTGTGACACAGTGATACAGGCATGGGACCAATCAGGAGACTTTATGGCGGATCAGTGGAACAGGATTATTTGACAGATATCGATACAGTACATTGATATTAACACTAGGTTAACAGGAACTGTTGTGAGTCCGAAGCCTAACTTATTATTACTGCTATTACAGCTTATTTGCAAATTAGTGGGACACGTGATGAATTTTGTGATGATCAATTATTTTTCGGTAATAACAGTATAGTTTTTCGTGAATTTCGGCCGGTACATTATATCGGTATAATTTTGCACCGGCCAACCGAAATCTGCCGACGATCATCACAAAATCCATCACGTGTCCCACTACTTTAGGATGATTTGCGATTTGTCTATTCTAAATTCGGTATAAGTATGTTACACGGGAAATAACCCATTTTGTGTAAAGCATAAAACATCATTTAATATGCTTCGAGCAATTGAGAGCAGAGTAGGAGCATAGTATAGAGAGTTTTAAAGGGTCGAAAAACTAATCTTATACGCTTCAGACTTATTAAAGAGTTTCTTTCCTGGGTTTGTTAGCCTAATTTCTTGATATTCAATAATTTTTTTAATTTTCAACGGATTTATTACCGGGCTGATGAATTGATAATCAATGATCGTCAAAGACTTAATTAGCAAAAGATAACAGGAGGAAACATAAAATTGTTACACAATTGATAAAAAATTTTTTTATATTATTTTACAATACTTTTTTGGAAGGCTCGTTTGACTTATCTTTTCTATGAATATTGAAAATGATTAAACAAACATGAAGCTCTCACTTTGCTTTACAACATATTTTTTGAATCCCCTTGAATCCCACGGTTTCGTCTTTTTGTAAATTTCGCAATTTGATTGGTTGACAAATCCCGTAGTGATATTTTGACTGGTCGATACAATGAGTGATATGTGTAACGGAGAGTGAAAATCATATCTAAATTTGGACGTTTTCTCCTGTTGCAAAAGATCATTTGATTAGGTCGAGGAAACCTAAAACTTCAATCACTTTATATAGTAAAGATTAACTAACTCATTGCATACTGTTTTGCATATATATTGTTTTTTGCCTATTGTTTTTATGCAAAGAGATTCCCTTCGCTTATTGATGTCGATAATTTAGGAAATTTATTTTTGATGTGCTACTAGTTTATGTATCATCTCTACATGAGGTTTTTAAATTTCCTGTACCGTACGTACTAACTATGGAATTTACCTTTCGATAATAGCCAATATCAGAAATTTCTGTTTTTTGCAAATGTAATAATAAAATTATTAATAGTTTAATAACACTCTTTCTAGCTGTGATTTCTAAGTTCCAGATAAAATAAATGTTGCCAGAAAAAAAGCATATAACATTACTCGAAAATTTTTATACTAGTAAAATTTATATCGATTTCAAACTTACATATATACGCCATTTATTGATTTAAATTGATACTTTGACATTGTTACATGGAAAATCGGCGCAGTACCCTATGTACCTTATGACCCTTGAGCATATGGCCTACAGATGTTCAAGATCTCCACCCCTGAAAGCTGTGGATATGGTGATCACAAGCACTTATCTAAATTATCGGTAACTATAAGTCAGTGAGCTGATCGAAACTGATTAACTATTTATTATACATTCTAATTATCGAATATTTATTTTATTGAGTGGTGCGCATTTCGCCAACAATCCCTTCACCGACATTTAATTCACAGACAAGTTCATTTCACCGAAAATAAACTTTCCGACAAATTCATTTCACCGACAATTATTTCACTAACAGCTCATTTCACTGACAAAGTAATTCTGGTTATTGTTGTTAGTGTCAAGTTAGAATTAGAGTTAAGGTTAGTGTAATTTATAAAAAAATACTTGTCGGTGAAATGAATTTTGTCGGTAAGTTAATTGTCAGTGAAATGAACTTGTCTGTGAATTAATTGTCGGTGAAATAACACGTACTCATTAATTTTATTCAATTAAGTATTCATTTCATCTAAATTAATTTGCGAATATTCTAATTCGTTAAATTCTTGTACAACTTCATTAACTAAGTTTTATTTAGAATTCATTTATTTAATTTTATTATGTGAATGCATAAGTTGTAAGTGAAAACGGATTCAGAATTTATATAAAAAACCCATTTTCGGGGTTGATTTTATCATATGTACACCTTAACCCTTACTAGAAAATTCCAAATCCATTTAAATTCCATTTCCACTTACGACATATACCGGTATAAGTGAAAAATAAATATGAAGTATTTGAAATAGATTATTCAAGTTGTGAATCTTTACTATCAAAGTAATGCTTTATCACTTTATTCGAATTATTTTAAATATGAAAATACAATCAGCCTCTACATATAATAATTAAAACAGGCGGCGAAGCCGCCTGCTTGATCATGTTCTAGATATTAATATTAAATTCTCACGAAAAAAAAAACTTCTTGTTAGTACACAGAAATAAAAATATAAAAGTTCGAATTGTTTCTTTTGTGTTACACTTGATTTCAAAGTTTGATTTGCCAGTGAAATTTTCTAAGCCAGTAATGCTAGGGCGGTTATACATGACATGTGCATGATGCCCATCTCCAAAAGAAATTACTGTTGAGGACGATTTGGATGATTCTGAAACAGTAATTAGTGATATAGAAGTGGAGAATAATTTATTAGAAAATGCAAAAAAAAAACTTTTTGAATATTGAATAAATTCTGAAATATGCCTCTCAATAATGTAAATTTTTAAAGCAAGATAGTTCGTATTTATTAGTTTATTTATTAAAGTGGTAACTTATTATAAAAATTACATGTAATTATATTAATATATAATATATATATATATATTTAATAAATCTCGTGGTATCAATTTTATATATCAAATTTTTAACACAAGTTCATCAAAATTATAATCTTTATTCCCAGCTCATATTATATTATAATAACATCCAAAGTATAAATATCAACTGCTTGAGTATATTTTTTTCCTTGTAAAATCTCTTGAACTGTATAAGGTAAAATCCCGCATACTTCTTTCGTATTAAAGTTCCGAACCTGCAATATACATTCGTCTTGTAAAGTGTTTCCACTATGAAGATCTTAATGTTTCAATCCTTGCAAATGAATTGCTTCAAGGTCAATGTTAGGCAACTTATGTTTATATCGTTTGATACTTTATGATATTACGTACAGATTTCTTTTCTGTGTATTAATAAGATGGTAATTTCCTGAATCGCCTCTTGATATCCCGTAGCATTTCAAGAACGATGGATGTTTTTATCCGATCCTGTAAAATGCTTCTAAATTTCAAAAGAAAAAAAAATCTAATTCAAATCTTAATTACAGAATTATACAGTTGGCACTGGGCATATGTCCAACTATTTTTATGCTATTGGACATTGGACTTGGACATATGTCCTGTCCAATATGTCCAATAATGATTATATGTTGATTTATATATTATTGTCCAATACTTTTTGGTCCAATGGATTGGACTGGACTGGACAAGTGTGGTTCAATGTCCATGTCCAATGTCCAGCCCAACACTGAGTAATAGAGATACTTATCGTCAATTAAATTTCATTACTTTGATTGGTTAATCTACATTTGGGACGGTCCTACGTACCTGTACCTTAAAATTCGTGTAACATAACCGTCCTCCTGTTGCACTAAATCCGTTTATCGTTATATGAACCATAATTCAATTTTTGCCTCATCTTGTTTATGTATACTGTACAGTCAATTCTTTAATATATGTTATAATGAGCCAAGAAGAAAACAATATCAAGGTTGTGTGTCGTTTTCGACCACAAAATTCCCGTGAAATCAGTGAAGGCGGTGTTCCTATTATCACTGTTGACGACGGTGGTGAATCTTGTCGTATGGAGGTTAGTCTCTGTCTTTTATTTTAATAGCATTATTTAATGTTCGCTATACAGAGCGTAGTGCAATGTTAGTGAAGCCATTTGGTCGAGAAAAAAATCCCTCAGCATAAATTATATTAAGAGAATACAATATAAATTGAGTCGAAGTTTAATGATGCTATAATTTAAAATTCTTTATTATATCGAAAGTTTACTATAACATGTGTGTTGTGAAAGAAAAATAAATGCTAAATTTATTGAATCAACTCATTCTAAGTAATAATATCGAATTTCCCCAACAATTGTATTTTTGCTAAGTTTAAATTATTCATCTGTACATTTTTCTATTTTATCCATTAGGGTAAACAATTTCAAGGAAGTTTCACTTTCGACAGAATTTTTCCACCGGAAACCGCTCAGAAGACTGTGTTTGAAGAATCAATAAAACATATTGTCAATGGTAAAAACAAGTGTTTTAAATTCTAATGAAATTTTTTATTTAATATATTAGGCAATTAATTCTATCTTAATTTATATCATGAATAGAGGTTATCAGTGGTTATAACGGAACCGTGTTTGCTTATGGTCAAACAGGTTCTGGCAAGACCCACACTATGACGGTAAGAATTTAATATTTATTTTAGGCGAAGCAAAGTAAAATTTCTGATTTCATATTCCGGCTTTTTTTAATTAAAATTAAAATTTTTATTTAAAATATGGGATCTTTGCCTTGAAAATCAGGTATGGGAGATACGATTTACTATATTCCGTAACCCGATTTTCAAGGCAAAGACCCCATATAATTAACATTTATTATGAAACGCACCTATGGTAGCTTTGCACCTATCATATGATTTGTTATGTTTTTTTGGATTTTTCTAAGTCTTGAATATAAAATTTTCAACACAAAATTTACATGTCAGTTTTATTATTTAAGGTTAGGGTTAGGGTTTAGGGCGTAGAGCATTTTTACTTAGAATAACTTGCACTTCAATAGAAATCAGGCAGATTGACATTTTTTTAAAGAAATTCTATATCTTAACTTTCACAGCTCATATATCAATGAAGTTTGATGCTATTTTAATGATTCAATATTCAAAAAAAAGCCTAGAACATTATCTTCCTTTTGAATAATAATTCATCAAACTAGCTTCAAACTTCATTGAGATATAAGCTGTGAATTTAAGGTATAGATTTTTATTAAAATGTCAATCTGCCTGATTTCTATTGACGGCAACCCATATATACCTAGGTGTAAACCACTATAGATGCGTTTTAGTAAGAGTCTATATTAAATATAAATTTAAACTTTTAAAATTTTAAATCATATACAATAACCTGGCAGATATTTAAATAAAGTTTTTATATAAAAAATTTGAAAAAAAAAGCCAGGTAGCAGAGTCTGTTTAGAAGTTTAATAATACAAAAACCAGAAATTGATTTTACATGGCTTATTTGATTTTTTGATTTTTATTTTTTTGGATGATGTTATTAAATACACTCTTGACATTTTTGATATATATGTATATATCAATTTATATTATAGGGAAATATAGACGATGAAGAATTTAAGGGTCTTATTCCTCGTATTGTTGAGCAAATTTTTCACAGTATCATTGTTTCTCCACCAACAATTGAATGCACTGTTAAAGTATCTTATATGGAAATTTATATGGAGAGAATTAGGGATTTACTTAATCGTCAGTATAAACCTTCCTTTCTCATTTTTATTCTTAAAAAATCAATTACACTATCTTTAATTCTAAATTTCACACTATTATCATAGCCCAAAATGATAATTTACCCATACATGAAGAAAAAAATAGAGGTGTTTATGTGAAAGGTCTTTTGGAAGTATACGCTAGTTCTGTTCAAGAAGTGTTCGAAGTAATGAAACGTGGTAGTAGTGCTCGTAATGTTGCATATACAGGTAAGTTATTCTTTCGTTTACATTATAGTACTGTAGCATTGTCAATAATTATTAAATTGTCACAACGTCGTTACCATTTTTTTTTTATTTTCTTATTTTTTAGACATGAACGCTGAAAGTTCAAGGTCACATTCTATCTTTATTATTATTATCAATCAAAAGAATCTTGCTGATGGTAGCGTAAAATATGGCAAACTATCACTTGTCGATTTGGCTGGTTCCGAAAAGGTTCGTGTTCTTACTTGAATCTCAAACTATCTGGAATTTATGATCGATAACTTACTTTATTAGAAATTATAGGTTTGTAAAACAGGTGCCTCTGGTCAAACTCTCGAAGAAGCTAAAAAAATCAACAAGTCTTCGTCTGCATTGAGAATGGTTATTAACGCTTTAACTGATGAAAAAGTACGTATCATAAAAAATTCATTACTGTTTTTT